CTGTTGTTGGAAGTCTAGTTTGTGTATTCTCTGCCCTCTTTTTTTTTTTTTTTTTTTTTTTTCTTCCTCTCTTTCCTGGAGTACATGTTAAAAAACAAAAAACAAACGCTGAAGTTGGTGGGTTGGGGTGAGTCATGAGCCGCTTTCTTCAAAATCATTGATTACTGCCACCCCTGCCTCATGTATGTTTTGGTTTTTTTCTTCTGTTTTTTGCCTGCAGGGATGCCTGCAGTCTGTAATCCAGGCATGGTACCAGTGGCAATACCACCTCCTGCGGTCAACCCTCAGCACCTGTGTAATGAAGAGGACCTGAAATCTATCCAGGACATGTTTCCCAACATGGACAGGGAAGTAATCCGCTCAGTGCTAGAAGCTCAGAGGGGGAACAAGGATGCAGCTATCAACTCCCTGCTTCAGATGGCTGAAGAATCATAGATCCCTACTTCCTGCATAGTCCCTGTCCTCAATGCCACTTATTTTTACTTGCCAAGCCAGGGATTTAGCTAGAGGAAGAATTTCCCAACAGCTTTCTGTTAGCGCATCCTGTGTGAAAGATTATACCCCTTTTCTCCTTGGACATTTGGATCTTTTTCACTTTCTTTCTCAGTCTGTACATATTCAGTTTAGCTTATGTCCTACAATATAGCATTGAAGCATCTTTACTATCAGCTGTGCCCTGTGTGGCTATATTCTGATGGGATGGGGAGTAATGCTGCTTTTTTTTCTTTCTCTCTCCCTTTTCATAAACTTGTTCTTACAAAGTAACTCTATGCAGTACAGGATTTACTAGTGTTCGTTAGGTTGAAAAAAATTTCCTTTCTGTGGAGGGTTTGCTCTTTAAACATAACTGATTCGTTTAAGTATTTACGTTTCATCAAGCAGCCTATTTCTGCCAGAAATTAAAAGAAAGACCCTTTCCTTGTCCTGTGGTGTTTAGTTATTGCTGTGATATATTCAACTGTTTCTGACTGAAGATTTTTAATTTAATAAGGTAAATTTCTTAGGTTGCACTGTTGGTATTTGTAATGAGCATCTTCTATTCAATCTAGTCATTGGGCACCAAAGCAATATAGTATCTGGTGTGCATTTGGGGCTTTATCCTCCCATATAGTATTGTTAGATATCTCTAAAATCTTAACAGGTAACTTTTAACTTGTACAGTATGTATTGCTGTAGCAGAGAACAGGACTGAGCCCTAATGTACTCGCATGGTTAATTGCACTCTAATTACTACTTCTGCATTCCCATGGCTATTTCAAAGAATAAATGCAGAAGGAAAGATTTTTATACCTGGAAAATTACTGAAGCCGTAAACAATTATTTAAGGCGTTGTCTTACATGAAAAAAGCAAAAGCTATGATCTAGTTATAAGACTTCTTTCTTTACACCTATATTTCAGCAAAATTATCATTTTATGTCAGTGGAAAATCTATTGTATTTTTTCCTGTAATCTGAAATAAGAAGCACGAAAAGTAGCTTCAGAATCTTTGAATGGCATTATGAGTTGCTCAGTGACTAAGACTACGGTTGCTGTAGTCAATTTATTATTATTTGATGCAGATGGAAATAAATTCTTTGTGAGAGAAAATTTAACATAGCTGAGTTATAGTCTGATCCTCAGAGGAGGTTGGAGGTTGCTTGTATTTATTGTTAGTGTTATTTTTTCAGATAACAGTTCATCTTGGAGCTGCAGAATCTTACAGTATGCACCAGTTACACCTGCTGGACAGATATCTGCAGCGTCTGTTTTTGTAGCTGGTAAAGTAATGCACTTTAACTAGTATGCACCAGTTTCTTTTTCCAGTGATGTGCAATGTTGCTGTTTTATCTTTTTAATGTTTGATTTCAAATACTTTCTACAATAGCCATAGACCTTTATATTTTCAAGAGTTGGAATGAATGTACACTTGAAATCTAGGCTCTTGAGTGATTCATGAGAACATTAAAGCCAGGTTTGGAATAGGGAAAAGGGACCTGTATTCTCTTCTTC